CAGAGAGTAAGGACTATCTTTTTGATTCTCAAATCTACAAAACATTGCCATGAGAAACTAAAGAAGGAAAAAAAAAAGTAATCTTCTACATGACTAAATAGAAGACTCAATATTATTGTACATCAGTTTCCCAAAATGATCTGAAGATTCAATACAAATCCAAACAAATATCAAGCACACTGTTTTTTATAGAAATTGATAATATGATTTTTTTTAAAGAGAGAGAGAGAGAATTTTTTTTAATATTTGTTTTTTAGTTTTTGGCGCACACAACATCTTTGTTTGTATGTGGTGCTGAGGATCAAACCCGGACTGCATGCATGCCAGGTGAGCGCGCTACCACTTGAGCCACATCCCCAGCCCTGATAATATGATTTTAAATTAATAAAAAGTATCTTGAATATTCAAAACAATTCTGAAAAAAAAAAAAAAGTCAGGCATTCATAATACATACTTGTAATCCCAGCTACTTGGAGACCGAGACAGAAGAATCTCAAGTTCAAGGCCAGCCTCAGCAATTTAGTAAGACTCTGTCTCAAAATAAAAATTTTTTAAAAGGGTGGGAATATAGCTCAGTGGTAAAGTAACCCTGGGTTCAATCCCCAGTACCAAAAAAAAAAGAAAGAAAGGAACAGAGTTGGAGGATGCATTTGATTTGATTTTAAGATGTAAAAAGTCACAAGGCAAAGAAGGAAAGAAATATACCAACATAACAGAATAAAGTACAGAAATAGAGCCACATTTGTATGTGTAAGGGCAAATATAAAAGAAAAATAAGGGCTTTAATTCTCCCTTTTGAAAATTATGGAAGAAATTCTCCCCTAACTAATCTCCCCCACTGGACCCTGCAACCTTTTCTTTCAAATTTTCTGCCTGTTGTATGTATATTATAAACTCTAAAAATAGTCACACAAATCAGGAATGTTTCAAGTACCTAGAAGCCATCCCTTTAAACTGCACACATCCAAGGAAACAGCGCCCTTGTCTCCCAGATCCCAAGGGAAAGCAGGAGGGCACCTTACTCCAATTTACAAAATTATCTCCTATGATAAAGCAATCTGTTTCTCCAAGTAAAACTACACAAGGGATCTCCCCAATTACCATAAATCGGGTGAAGCATTCTTAACAAAAAGTGCTGTCAAGTCCTCTTACTTAAGGACTACTGTTTGTTTATTTATTTATTTACTTATTTATTATTTTGGTTCTGGGGATTGAACTCAGGGGCACTGACCACTGAGCCACATACCCAGCCCTATTTTGTATTTTATTTAGAGATACTAAATATCACTGAGTTGCTTAGCGGCTCGATTTTGCTGTGGCTGGCTTTGAACTGGTGATCCTCCTGTCTAAGTGTCCCAGCCTCCAGAGCTGCTGGGATTACAGGCGTGAGCCACTGTGCCCAGCCTTACTTCTTATCTTGAAAGCATCGTAATAGGTTGTTTCTCTTTGTTATATAAGGGGGTAAGATCTTGGTCTTTGCCATCTGTCAGAGGTTTACCTGTGATGTATATCACATTCAGATTTTTCTTTTCTTCTTCTTCTTCTTTTTTTTTTTTTTTTGGTGTGGTACTGGGGATTGAATCCAGCACCTTGTGCATGCAAGGCAAACACTCTACTGAGCTATATCCCCAGCCCCACATTCAGATTTAACAGCTATTCAATTATAACTGTTTTCTTTCTCTATCACCTTTTCAAAGTGGTTTTCTGGTTTGGGGGAAGATTTTCTTTTTTCTTCTTCTTCTTGTGTTTGTGCGTGCATGTGTGTGTGTGTGTGTGTGTGTGTGTGTGTGTGTTACTGGGAAATGAACTCACATATGCTAGTCAAGTGTTCTACCACTGAGCTATATTCCCAGCTTTTTATTCTTTTTTTGTTTGAGACGCGGTCTTGATAGTTGCCCAGGCTGGCCTCAAACTTGTAACCCTCCTGTCTCATCTCCTGAGCAGCTAACGCTAAACTGTATTTACAACTGGGCACAGTGGTGCATGCCTGTAATCCCAGCAGCTCGGGAGGCTGAGACAGGAGGAATTTAAGTTCAAAGCCAGCCTCAGCAAAAGCAAGGCACTAAGTAACTCAGTGAGACCCTGTCTCTAAATAAAATACAAAATAAGGCCGGGGATGTAGCTCAGTGGTCGAGTGCCCTTGAGTTCACTCACCGGTACCCACCCCCCCCCAAAAAAAAATTACTCTATTTCCTCAACAGTGGTCAATTTATTTTCCACAAAAGTGTCAAGATAATTCAATGGGGAAAGCATAGTCTTTTGAACATAGGGTGTTGGAACAAATATACATCCATATGATACTCCAGCCTTAGGTGTACCATACTAAAAAATAAACTCAACGGATTGTAGACCTAAATGTAAAGGTTAAAACTATAAACTTTCTCAAAGAAGGTGACTTTGGGTTAAGAGGATGCAAAATGCATGAACCACAAAAGAAAAAATGCAGTACACTGGACTTCATCAAAATTGTATCTTTTGTTCTTCAAGAGACACTATTACAAAATGCAAAAGCAAGCTACAAACTAGTAGAAAATATTTATAAAACACACACCTGATAAAAGAATTCATACAGAAAATATATAAAGATCTCTCATAACTCGATCAGAAGACAAAGGATTTTGTTGCTGTTGTTGTTTAATGGGCAAAGACTGATCTGAAAAGCCTAAAATATTTACTAGAAAGCAGTCAATTCCTTCCCTTCACCCTAAACTGCTGACACCCAGTGAAATACATTTCCTTACTATAATTATATCTTCTCTAGAATTCTGTGTGAATAAAAATCATATATATTCTGTGTCTGTTTTCTTAGGATGACATTTCTCTCTCTCTCTCTTTCTCTCTCTTTTTTTTTTTTAATGGAGATAGAGTAGTCTTGCTATGTTGCCCAGGCTGTTCTCCCAGGCTCAAGTGATCCTCCAGCTTCAGCCTTCTGGGTGCTGGGACTATAGGTGTGTGTACCATACCTGGCCAGAAAAAATGGGGTTTTTTATGTTTTGCTTTTGCTGGGGATGAAACCCAGGACCTTGCGCATACTAGGCAAGTACTTCACCTCTGAGCTACATTCCCAGCCTTCAGATAATACTTTTGATTGCTGACTCCAGATTAAGAAAAAAGGCAATCAATGGATAGGAGCTTCAAGATGACCAAGATGCTGGAATTAGCAGAAAAATATTCTAAAGCCTCCATTTTTAACTATATGAAGGGACACAAGGAAAATATGCTCACAAGGGTATAAACAAATAATAATTTTTGGCAGAGAAATTACAAAAAAAAAATAGAGTTAGGGTTGTGGCTCTGTAGTAGAGCAGTTGCCTGGCACATGTGAGGCACTGGGTTCGATGCGATCCTCAGAATCACATAAAATTAAACAAATAAACACATTTAAAAAAAGAACTAAACTGAAATGACAGAACTGAGAAATAACAACACTGGAAATATGAAATTCAAATCATTGCATGGGCTTAATTACAAGAATGAAAATGATATAAGGAAAAGTAAGTAAATTAAAGATACAATAGAAATTATACAATATAAGAAAGAAAATTAAAAAGATTGGAAAGAGCTGGGCATGGTGGCACATGCCTATAATCCCAGCAACTTGGGAGGCTGAGGCAGGAGGACCACAGGTTCGAAGCCAGCCTCAGCAACTTAGCAAGATCCTGTCTTAAAATAAAAAATAAAAAAGGAGTGGGGATGTGGCTTAGTGGCTAACTGCCCTTGGGTTCAATCCCGGGTACTAAAAGACTGGAAAGAAACAGCAAGAAGAGACTTGTTGAGCTATAGGACAATATCAAAGTCTTACACATGTGGACATGGAGTCCAGGAGGAAAAGACGAAATGGGGCAGAGAAAATAATTGAAAATTATGCTACAAAAATTTAACAATTTTGGTAAGAGACACAACTTTATAGATTAAGAAACTCAGAAAATTCTCAACAGAAAAAATATGAAGAGAACCACACCCGAAAGCCAAATAGCTAAAAACTAAAGAAAATGAGAAAATCTTGGGGAGTAAATAGTGACATAATACAGAAAAAACAACATCAATTGTCACTTACTTCTCATCAAAAATAATAAGAACCAATTTAGTTTATAACACCTTTAACTGGGTCTTGCTAGGTTGCCTAAGCCTATGGGAGGCCATCCTCGCACGTGATTTCAGTTACCTCCCTGGCTGGGCGAGAGGCGCTTAGTCACATCTTTGTGTCCAGAGCTTTCCCCACCCTTCTCAGGTCCAAGGGCTTGTCTGTGTGGAGGCGTGTCTGGCCACTACCCTGAAGACCCAATCATCGCATCTGACCTTGGGACACTGACCCCCTTAATCTTCATTGGATGGGATTTTCCCCAGAATTTTTTGTTCCCCAATAAAAGTCCATTCCCTGGCATGTTCTCTCTTGCTCACTAGCCTCTTCAGTAAACCTCGCTACCATAATAGGCAGCTTGAGGCTGGAGCTAGGAGAAGCCACCCTGGAGCTGGTTTAAAGGTAATTAGAACCTGTCTCTTTAATTCAAAACTCCCTTGAATTTCTCACGCAGCTGAACCTTCATTTATGAAGCCTGTGTTGGCCACGGGCTAAATAAGCCAGTCCCAAACTTGTGATTCTCCTGCCTCAGCCTCCCAAGTAGCTGGTATTACAGACCTACACCACTATGCCTGGCTCACACATCAAAATTTTGATCATATACAGAACTCAATAATTAACTGCTATAATTTCTTTCTTCTTTTTTCTTTCTGGTGCTAGAGATTTAACCAAGGGCTCTGTATATAGGTGCTCTACCACTAGGCTATACCCCAGTCCCCTAACTTTATAAATTTTTAAAGTTATTAAAAAATACTGGTACCTCTTTTCTATTAAGTCTAACAGAATACTGAGAATGCTAAATCATTAGAGAATTTTATTTGTGTGCTTGTTTTTCAAATAAAAACCAGACTGAAAGAAACTACAACACAAATGAAAGTGGCCCCATATGCACACATGTACACATACGCACATTAATTACCTTCTGCCCTTCTCACACAGCTTCTCAATTTCAGCTTTCAGATCCTGCTCCTTCTGCAAAAACTCCTTCTTTTCTTTCTCTATCTTCTTTTTTGTTTCTTCTCGCTTTATTGTCACATCCTGTATAGCCTTTAATATCTCCTAAATCCCACAAAATCACAGTCACACACAAATAAAGAAGGAAATAAATTAGTTCTTTTGATCTGAAGGTTGTGTTCAACAATCACATATACATATTGATTTTAGTGGATTCAAACTGAATTGAAAGAATCTGGTTGTTGAGCAACTCCAAAAGTCAGAATTCAGACTGCAGGGAGAAAGTTACAGGAACACAGACTTCAACTCAACAGGAAAAAACCGTATAATAATCACACCGTTCAAAAACGAAACACACTGCCTTGTGAAGCAATAAGTTGTCCATTTTTGGTGCTCAAATGTCAAATGAACACCCCTCAAGACTGCTGGGAAAGGCATTCTTGCTGTAGGAGGGAGTTTGTTGCATCCAACAAATTGGTCTTGTCTTGTTTTGTTATTCTACTCATGTTCTATTTGTTATATGTATGGGTCTTCTGTTTATTTGACTTTTTTATTATTTAACAGCAGCAAATAAGAAATCAAACAATACAAAAGTATTGAAGTTAAATTACCCCCAAGTTCATACCACTTCCACCCATAAGGGCAATCAATGTGTTAACTGTTCTTATTATGACTGCACATTTTCTCAATTCTCAAAGAAATACACATGTACTTATATATCTATTTCTTTGGCTTTTTTTTTAAGCATTCCTGGGGATCAAACCTAGAGTCTTGATCATGCAAAGCACACAATCTACCACTGAATTATATCCTCCATCCCGTTTTTCTTTTTTTATGAAGTTATTTTATATTCATTATTTTACATTGTGCTTTTTTCCACTTGGACAACATACATCAATAACTACAGATATAACTCAAAAATACCTAGCTGCATAATAGGACATCACATAGACATATCCAATTTATCCTGATGAACTGTTAAAAGACCTTTGGGTTTATTCCAACTTTTTTTGTAATTTTACTTCTTATCACACAAAAAAATCTTTCCTGATTTTTCTCTAGATTTTTTTTTTTTTTTTTTTACTTTTACCATGAATTTGTAGAAATCTTCAGAATGTCATAAACGTTAAATTTTTTTATGAGGGGCTGGGGTTGTGGCTCAGTGGTAAAGTACTCACCTAGTATGCGTGAGACACTGGGTTCAATCCTTAGTACCACATAAAAATAAAATAAAGGTATAAAAAAAGGTGTTTTAAAAATTTTTTTTTTTTTTATATGTGCTAAAAATATTTTCTCTCTCTCAGCAGGTTTTTATATTGTTTTGTACTGGGGATTGAACTCAAGGGCACTCAACCACTAATCCACTTCCCCAGCCTTATTTTGCATTTTTATTTAGAGACAGGGACTCACTGTTGTTGAGGCTGGCTTTGAACTCATGATCCTCTAGTCTTAGCCTCATAGGCTGCTGGGATTACAGGCACGCGCCACTGCACCCAGCTGGTATTTTTAATTATAGATAATTAAATTCTGGGTTTTGTGCCTTGCTTAAACTGCAATAAACATTCTATATGTCTATACTTTCATACATAAATTTGTGCCTGTAGAATGGACTCCCAATAATGAGACTGGTCAAAGTAGAAGCATATTTTAAATTTTAACTGACAATTCCTAATAACTAATGAGGTCATCATAATTCACACTCTTACTAATCATGTCTACAAGAGTTCACTTTACCTCATGCTTGACAACTTATTTCATTTTGGCTCATCACTTGGGGGAGTAAAGAATAGTATCCAATAATATTAATGTGTACTTCCCTAACTTTCATTCTTTGTTTTATACCAGGGATTGAACTCAGGAGCACCTGGCCATTGAGCCACATCCCCAGCCCTATTCTGTATTTTATTTAGAGAGAGGGTCTCACTGAGTTGCTCAGCGCCTCACTTTTTTGTGGCTTTGAACTCACAATCCTCCTGCCTCAGCCTCCTGAGCCACTGGGATTACAGGCATGTGCTTCGTGCCTGGCATTCTTTATTGTTTAATGCTTATTTGAATAATGTTTTGTTCATTACTAAATGTCCAAAACTTACATCAAACACTCTAAAAATATTTTCTGAATGAATGAGTACCTGTGAGTCTGAGCTTCTTTCCAATTATTTACAATCATTTTGCTTTTCCTCTTCTATGAATTACTATTTATAACTATAGTAGGCAAAATAATACCCTCCCCCAAGATATCCATATTCTAATCCCTAGAACCTATTTATTATGTTACCTTCCATAGCAAAAGAGACTTTGAAAATGTAACTATGGTAAGGACCTTAAGATAGGGAGATTAATGAACTATCTGGGTGGGCCTAATATAATCACCTAAATCCTTAAAAGTGGAGAACAATTACCAGTTGTGATCAGAGCAAAATTTGTCTAGGGAATAAAGATCAAAGAGACACTGTTGTTGCTTTCAAGATGAAGGGGCCCTTAAGTCAAATAATGAAGGCAGGCTTTACAAGCCACAGACAAAAAAGAGTTGGCCCTAGAACTCTCAGAAAATAACACAGTCCTACTAGTACTTTGACTTTAGCCCAGTGACACTCTATGTAGACTTTTTTTTTCCCTTTGGGTACCAAAGAGTGAACTCAGGGGCACTCAACCACTGAGCCACATCCCCAGCTATGTTTTGTACTTTAGAGACAGATTCTCACTGAGTTGCTTAGTGCCTCACTTTTGCTGAGGATGGCTTTGAACTCGAGATTCTCCTGCCTCATCCTTCAGAGCCACTGGGATTACAGGTGTAAGCCACCATACCCAGCTTAATGTAGACTTTAAGCTGCTAAACCCATAGTGATTTGTTACATGAGCAATAGGAAAATAGCATAATAACCTTTCCTGATTTTTTCTCTAGATTGACTTTTACCATGAATGTGAGCTATCTTCAGAATGTCAGACATTATATCTGGTCAGATGTGCTAAATACACACACACATACATATATATATATACACACACATATATACACATACATACATGTGTGTATATACATATGTATATATATATATGTATGTGTGTATATATATATGTATATATATACATACACATATATGTGTGTATATATACATTTTTTTTTGCTAAAAATATTTCCACTCAGTTTAACAATCTTTCAACTAATTTTTACATCACTTGGTATTTTTAATTATATGTAATTAAATTAATTAATTAATTTTTTATGGCTTCTGGGTTTTCTGCCTTGCTTAAAGTGACCTCTTATAATTTGAGGTTTTATAAATACTCCCCAAAATTTTCTTCTACGTTCAACTTTTTTCCAGTTTTTATATAGAGATTTTTAATCTACTTATGAATATATTTTTCCAAATAACATAAGATATCAACAAAATATATTAAATAAATAATCTTTTCCTCTCTGAACTAAAATCAGATTTATCCCCTGGACAACAGGATTGTTTTTATTCTTAAACTTCTATGACAACCATTAAAAAGTAAATATCGCTTTTCTTTTTCTACTAAGAAACAAACTTAAAAGTCTGATCGGGGGCTGAGGTTGTGGCTCAGTGATAAGAGTGCTCACCTAGCATGCATGAGGCATTGGGTTCAATCCTCAGCACCACATAAAAATAAAAATATTGTGCCCACCTAAAACTGAAAAATAAATATTAAAAAAAAAGTCTGATCAGAACTGTTGCTTTACTCTTTGATTTTTTTCTTTTTAATATTTATTTTTTAGTTGTAGTTGAACACAAAACCTTTATTTATTTATTTTTATGTGGTGCTGAGGATCGAACCCAGGACCTCGCACGTGCCACGCAAGCGCTCTACGACTAAGCCACAACCTCAGTTCTCTCTTTTGCAAATGCAAGGCAAATACTCTCCCACTGAGTTATATCTCCAGTTCAAAAATTTTAATAAGTAAACTACCTGGTGATTCTTCATTTCTTCTTCTCTCCTCTGCTGAAGTTGCTTTAATTGCACTTGGAGTTGATTCTCCACCTGCCTCTGCTTGTCCAGGACTTCCTGGTAACGTTCTTTCAATAGGGTTCTCTCTGTCATCATTTTGTCCTATTGGAAAAAACAAGTTTATTTTCCAATTTAAACGTAAGAAACTAAATGCCTAACCAAGACATTATACAGAGTTCTAAAGCTGTGATGTCCAATACAGTAGCTACTAGCCAGATGTGGATAGGTAAAATTAATCAAAATGATAAAATAGAAACAAACAGACCCTCAATTACCTAGGCACACCTCAAATACTCAAAAGCCAAATATGATTAGTGGCTACTGTACCAAACAACTAGGTTAACAGAACATTTCTACCACTACAGAAATTTCTGTTATACAATACTGCTATAAAGCAGGGGTTGGCAATCTACAGCATGTGTGACAAATCCAGCCATCGCATGTTTTATGTTTTTTTGTTTTTTGTGGTGCTGGGGATTGAACCCTGGTTCTTGTGCATACAAGGCAAGCAGTCTACCAACTGAGCTATATCCCCAGCCCCTCATCGCATGTTTTTATAAGTAAGTTTTATTAGAACAAAGCCATGCCCATTGGTTTAAAGATTGCTTTCAAACTATAACAGCAAAGTGGAAAGATTACAATAAATGCCACACAATCCACAGAACCTATCTGGTCCTTTAAAGAAAATGTTTGCCCACCACTGTTACTAGGGATAAGAGAAAGGAGATATTCTATCGTCCATTAGGAGAGAGAAAAAAGTAATATGCCAGAACAAAGAACAGATCACCTACTCAAAGAATAGGACGCCTTACCAATCATTAGCACTGACAACTGACATATCCACTAAAGAAGTCTGGGTAACCTCATATTCAGAATGAGCAACTCAGAAAGCTCACATAAATTAGGGATTAGAAGTGATGTTTGTGAGGACCACAATATGGCTCTGCCTCCCTCTCATCAGCAAATTAAGGAAAGCAATGGTCACCTCTCAAATGAACATAAAAACTTAAAAGAGTCAATTTAAAGCAAATTTGGTATAAGGTAGTTCTTGTAAAAATTAAACCAAGAGTATTAAGCTGAATTTGTTCTCTAAAGGATGATTATTTTTCAAGAAAATAAAGTTCCTGAAAGTGAATATTAGAAAACCTATATTGTATTATCATCATAAAAAACAGGCTGTCGGGCTGGGATTGTGGCTCAGCGGTACAGCACTCGCCTAGCACGAGCGGGACCCGGGTTCGATCCTCAGCACCACATAAAAATAAAGGCATTGTGTTGTGTCCATCTACACCTAAAAAATAAATATTAAAAAAAAAAAAAAACAGGCTCTCAAGATGGTTTAACTTTGGGATAAACCAGTCCTCAGTCCATGTACCAAAATGTGACCACATCACTCCAAAGAACTGATTCCTCAACATCACATCTTTGCAGGGATTATGAATGTAGGGTCTGTGGATAACCCTGGGGGATCTTTGTACTCTCTGAAATTGGGGTGTGTGTGTGCATTTTACTTTGATGACAATTAAAAGTTTTCAAAAGATTCTAAAAGAGGACATAAACATTGTTAACTTTGTTAACAAAGTTTAAGAACCAGTAAGTGAACCAGAAGATTAAAGGATTCTTTTCTTTTTTAACCACAGCTCCTTTCCTTTACCTCCTTCATTCATAATACATCTTTTTATAATACATCTTTTTTTTTTCTTTTGGTACTGGGGATTGAACTCACGGGTGCTTTCCCACTGAGCTGCATCATCCGACATTTTTCTTTTTTTTCCCTAATATTTTTTTAATTGTCAATGGACTTTATATTTATTTATATACAGTGCTAAGAATCAAACCCAGTGCCTCACACATGCTAGGCAAGTGCTCTACCACTGAGCCATAATCCCGGCCCATCACCAGACATTTTGAGATAGGGTGTCACTAAGTTGCTTAGGCCCTCACTAAAGGCCGAGGTTGGCCTTGAACTTGTGATCCTCCTGCCTTAGTCTCCCAAGTCTCTTGAGATTACAGGCATATTCCACTGTTTCCAGTTCTCCATGATACATCTTTAGAATAACACAGGAAAAAAGCATTAGTTTGCACCAAACACTTTTCCTTTCTATATTGTTCTTTCAAGAAACACATCTTACCCTCAAGATCTCTTTTTCCTGATCCTAGAGTGTCTTTCCCAGATTGTTGGGAGATTGAGGCAGGAGGATCATTTGAGCCTGGGAGACCAGCCTGGCAAATATAGCAAGACCCCAGGGATTTGTAAAAGTAAAGTCCTCTAAGATTTAAAAACTAATTACCAAGGAATAAAATGGAAAAGATACATGTAAACAGTACATTAAAAAAAAAAAAAAAAAACTTGACAGAGTTTGACTGGAAGCTCAATGATGTGACAAGATTACCAAAATTAGTCAATGTAAGCTTAAGAAATAGTGTTTAGAATAAGAGGCTGAGACTCATTCTACTGTGGACTAATTATGCTATAATCTGAACTATTTCATTTGATTCATTTTTTTACATAAAAATAAAGGTACTGTATTGTGTCCATCAGATTTTAAAAGAAAGACTGATAAAATGGAACATAGCTAAATGAAAGTAACCAGGATAAAAGGATTAAAAACTGGAAAAAATATCATAAAAAGAAAAATGCTAAAACAAACAAACAAACCAACCCAGCAACAACAAAACAAAACAAAGTAGGAACATTTCACCTGGAAAGATTTAGACTAAGCTGGGCATTACACCTGTGTAATCCCCAGCAACTAAGGAGGCTGAGGGGGAGGACCGCCGCAAGTTCAAAATCAGCCTCAGCAACTGAGTGAGGCCCTAAGCAACTCAGCAAGACCCTGTCTCAAAATTAAAAAAGCTGCTAGTGTGGCTTGGTGTAAAGCACACCTGGGTTAAATCCCTAGTACCAAGAAAGGAAAAAAAGAAAAAGAAAGAAAGAATTTGGATTTGAGGAGGAGGCACTGAAAAAAAAAACACACACACACACACACACTTTAAATATATGTAGAGCTATTACACTCTCTGGAGTGAACAAGGAGATTCCTGCACTTTTTTCAACTGAGATAAAACGTTTCTAGATTTTATACTTTAATGGTGTCATATAAAATGACACTTTTAATACTTACCAGATTCTTTTCAATATCTTGATCTGTGTTCACCTCTGAATCTGCTGTCTTAAAATCAGTCTAAAAAGAAAGAAATAATATATTCAGAATTTTTCAGAGTCTCTTTAAAAAAGGCAGAATTATTCCAGTACTTTCACTTAGAAATCTGCCACAAACAACTAAGAAGCAAACTTTCTGCTCTGTCCCCTTATCAGCTTCACAGTGAGAAGCAATGTAGTTCTAGCAAATGAACACCAACATCCACATTGCATCAATCATTTATCCCACAAAATAACCTGAATAAGACCCAAATTTGGACTGAGAAAGCCTCAAATCTGAGATAAGAATCTACTGTGCCCATATTTCCTCCTACAACAAAGCACACTAGTCACTATAAAGCAGGATACACTGTACTTCTTAAGATGTAGGTCAGAGAATTAACAAGGATTCCTCCCGTAAGGACAAAGATGGGAAATATGAATGCTAATGACCTATACTAATCAATCACTCAGTGATTGATTATATGTAGCTCATAAAGCTCCTATTTGCCATAAAATTAAACACTGGCTACTGGCTTTCTTATTTATGGAACAGCAGAATGAAGTCATTGCATGACATTGTATGAAAACAGTATGATGGGTGGTAGCAAAAACAAAAAATAAAAACAAAAAAATAAAAAACAAGACAGCATAGCTCTCCACCAAATATGAACTATCTCCTACCCTCAAAAAAAAAAAAAAAAACCCCAAATTCCATTTTAGTAGTAGAAACTTGATACTTGACCTGTACAGCAATGTTCTGAGAAAGCTTCAGGGAAGAGCTATCCTGATCATCATCCTGATCCACTCTGACTCCTTCAACCCCATTTGCTGGAGGCACTACAGGTCGGAAATCCAAGCCTGTGTCCCTGCTACCTTCCTTTGGGATGGAGGCTTGTGGGGATTTCTCTTCAGAGCAATTCCCGGAGGCAAGCTGCTTTGTATGGCACCCTGCCTTAAGAGACCGAGTGACTGGATGGAGGCTCTCCTGGAGGCTTGTGTCCCCCTCCTCTCCTGCTGTGCTGGCCAAGTCCTTCAAATCAGACTGAGACCCACTGCCAGAAAGACACAGGGCTGTGGCTATCAAGTTTTCTCCTAAAACCTCCTGATGCGCTGCTGAAGTGTCACCCGCTGATGAACCAGGATTCTGCTCTGGGTGTTCCAAATGGACATTTCTGTTATTCTCCTTGGTTATCGTTTGGCTACTTACACTCGATGGAGGTGAGTTCTTCTGCTTCTGCGCTGGGTCTTTGGGGCTATGAAAAACACAAGGTAAAAAGTTTCTAAGTTCTGGGTGTTGCTCAGTGGTAAAGCACTTGCCTAGCAGACATGAGGCCCTGGGTTTGATCTCCAGCATTACCAAAAAACAAAATAAACAAAAAAGATGGTTTTTTTCTCACCCAATCCAGTCTTAAAAAGGATTACATATCAGAATGACAAAGAATTTCATTTCTATCCAATAACTTGTATTCCATAAGCAGATAAGAACCTGGGTTCTGGAGACAGTCTACAGCCAATGTCTAAACATAAATGACCTTGAAGATCTAAAAAAGTGTTTTGAGGGCCCATATGAATAATTTTGGGGATATAGATAAAATAACCTAATGTTTATTGGAATATTTAGCTACTCATAACATTTTCATAAATAAAATATTAACTTATTTGTATCTCACTCTCATATTCCACAAAAAATAATTTCCCTTCAAATTCATTATAAATAACTTTGGCCAGAACTACTACTTAAATTCAATAGTTTTTCAAAGCATAGCATCACCTCAAGTTGTTTAAAGAACAATCCTTACACAACAATTGTTTAAGGATTCAATTTTGAATCCAAAATTGAAGTTGCTGATAGAAATCTTATCCTGAACCACAAGCATACATATATTTAATATTGGGATAATTATTTTGTCACTTATCACAGACACTTTTTCCCCCAGTGCTAGGGATAGAACCCAGAGCCTTGTATGTACTAAATACACATTCTCCACTGAGTTACATTCCCAGTCTATGTATTGCTTTTTTTTTTTTTTTTTTTTGGTACCAGGGATTGAACAACTGAGGGGCACTTGCCCACTGAGCTGCATCCCCAGCCCTATTTTGTACTTTATTTAGAGACAGGGTCTCACTGAGTTGCTCAATGACTTGTTTTTGCTGAGGCTGACTTTGAACTCGAGATTCTCTTGTCTCAGCCTCCCAGCAGCTAGAATTACAGGCATGCACCACCACACCTGGCTGTGTATTACTTTTTAAGGCGATCTTTAAAACATATTTACAATGACATCCAACATTCACAGCTATAAGTCTTTCACACATAGATATAATTCTATGTTAAAATTTTTCCCTTCCCTTCACCCCTTTCTTAAATGGTTCTGTCAAGTGATCCCTTAAGCATCCCAAACTAGCAATGATTGAGGCTTCAGGTCAATGTGTCTGCCTTTCCTCAATACCACTTGTCCAAAATAAAACAATTGAGAGAGTATCTGTGATATAAACATCTTTATCACACCTTAAGCGGATTCCTTCTTGCTGGCAGTTAACTGTGAGCTGAGAGAAAAGAACTTATTTTAAATCTGGTACATACAATGCCAGGTTTGAATCCTAACTCTTAACACTTACTAGCTGTTTGACTCTAGGCAAGTTATTTCATTTATAAAATAGAAATTATATAACCCACCTAATAGTATTATAAGAATTCCATGAGAATATATATATACACACACACACACACACACACACACATACACACATATTAATTACAGAGTGGCCAGCATATAGTAAACACTTAATAACCCTTAGCTGCTATTATTATTAATAGTAGTATGTGGTTGATTTTATTTATACAAAATGAATAAAGACTTAAAAGATCCAAGTTTATGATTAGGTTTATGTAACATTTCCTCATGACCCATTCACTAAAAAGCATCTCCTCTTTTTTTTTTTTGGTACTGGGGATTGAACACATTTTACCACAAAGCTACATCTCCAGCCTTTTTTTTTTTTGGTACTGGGGATTGAACTTAGACACTCTTGACCACTGAGCTACATCCCCAGTCCTATTTTGTATTTTATTTAGAGACAGTGGCTCAGTGAGTTGCTTAGTGCCTCACTTTTAACTTGAGATCTTCCTTCCTCAGTCTCCTGAGCCGCTGGGATTACAGGCATGTGCACCACTCCCGGCTTCCCAGCCTTTTTTTATTTTTTATTTTCATTATTTTGAGACAGGGTCTTGCTAAGTTGCTTAGGGCCTTACTAAATTGCTGAGGCTGGCCGTCAAACTTGAGATCCTCCTCCCTCAGCCTCCTGAGTCACTGAAATTATAAGCATGCATCACTATGCCTTGCTTATTTTTTATTTTGAGACAGAGTCTCATTAAGTTGCTGAAGCTGGCCTGGACCTTGCAATCCTCAGCATCTCATGTCACTGGGATTACAGATGTGTACCACTGCACCTAGCAACACATCTCTTCTTTGAAACAAATGTTTAAGTTATCTGGAGTCAGACAAACCTTGGTTTAAACCCTGACTCCAACATGGCTTGATAACCTTGGGCAAGTTACTAACCTCTCTGTGTCTCAGTTTCTTCAACTCTAAGTGGAAGCAATAATATTAGCACCTACCACCTAGGACTAATATGAAGATTAAATGTTTAATATGTATAAAGTTATTAGGGGCTGGGGATATAGCGCAGTTGGTAGAGTGCTTGCACCACATGAACAAGGCCCTGGCTTCAATCCCCAGCACCAAAAAAAAAAAGTTGATGGGATGATATTATCTATTATGTTAAGTCCCAGATACTTTAATCAACTTAATTCAACATGGCACATAACTAAGTATTAACCATTGTTGCAAGATTGGTAATTGCAATTCTTACCCTTGAGAGTATGGATGGGAGGCAAAATGTGCACATGAAGTACTAGGCAATATTAACCAAGATATCTAGATAGGCAGATACACAGACATATCTGCATTTGTATATGTATATATATGTGAATGTGTCTCTGTGTATATCTGTATCTATCTACATAACAAAGTATTTTATAAATGAGTATGGTATATAAACATAAGTTTAAATGAATACATACAATCTATATAGGACAGAGAAGGGAAATATTTACATTTTTTATGAATTGATGCATGTATTCTAACCTATTTATTCAACAAACATTTAGCATGCCTACTGAGTGTAAGACACTTTGTTGGATACCAAAAATACAGACAGACCAGGCAGTCCCTACCTTTAGAAAGTTTAATCTACTGCAGTGTCATTAGAGCTCAAGAAGAAAAGACCAGCTACAGAAGTCCATCTCAAAAGTCCTTTACCCAATTGAACCTTCCCTGTCAAGAATGCAGACATTACCTTAGACCATCTGGGAGACTTTCTTCTGATTTGGAAGCACATAAAATAGAAGAGGATTCCGGCGGATTGGAGGCATTGGCCACAACACCAGCCACCTCAGATGCTGCCATCGCGCTCTGCACATTCAGAAACAAATTACAGGCTACAAGTTTCAAAAGTTTAAGATGAATGTATCTTTCCCCCTCAGAATACCGACTCAACAGTTGCTCCAAGAAATACACACAAGGAAAATCTTGGGCTCCAGGAGAAAATATTTAACACTATTCTGCAGGAGGGTATTAAAAGAGTCACAGCATGCAATAGGTCCCAGTGGACATCAATCTTCAGGAGTCACTTTATTTACATAAATATCTAGGAGTTCATACAAAGCTTTTATTTATTTTTAAGAAGTGCAGTCATTTAAAATAGATCATAATTTGTGAGAATCTTACAAATGGTACAAAAGATGTTTTGGGCCTAGCATCAATAATATCTTATGTTTTTAAATCACTTTATGGCAGTTCCATCTAAAGCATTCTCCATTAACTTAAATAAAGTTTTTTTGGAGGTGATTGCAAGAAGCAGCAATCGATATTGGCAACTCCAATATTATTTTTTCACTCCCTCAATGCGTTCCGTCCACACAAATGGGAAAAGTCTGATACCCATGGCTGGAGCAAAGTACAGACTCTTAGGAGTTAGCACAGTGGAGCAAAAAAGAACTTGGTTAGCATGAAAATGAGAAGCAGAAAAACATAGTAACACTGGTAAGGAAACCCAGAAGATGCCTTTTTCCCCCCTCCACCAAAAGGTCATCCTTTTTGCTGCAAACTCATGACCTTCTATGGTAAGATGGAAAACAAAAACAAAAACAACGAACCAACCCTTGGGAGGTGAGGGGTGAACACAGCCTTGGTTTACATTCTTGTTTTTATTTTGACAGCACCCCAGTGATACCCCTGAACCCTGAAGAGTGCACAGAGCAGATAAGAAGACCAGGCTGTGTCAACACTTCAAGCACCGCCTGTGTCTCAGTTTCTCTCATTATATAAAGCTCCTGGGAAGAAGAGACCCCAAATCGCTATTACTCTTAAATGCAAATATTCTACCTCCAACAATGTCTAGCGTCGGGGTCATCGGTGCCGGGTAAACGGAACGACAGGGCAAGGGTCGTACATGCAGTTCCGTGGCCAGAGCCCAACCGGGGCGGGGGTGGGGAGGAACATTTGGCTGGAGGGCCGGGTGTGCCCAAGGGAATCCCGCAATCCCCCGGCGGCCACCAGCAAGGTGGCGACGCCTGGGGCGACGGGTCCTCAGAAGAGAACGGAAAGGGGACAATAGGGTAAAGCAGCGGCGGGGGTCCTAGCCACCCTCAACAGGGGACTGCTACGCTGGCCGCTTGCTTCGGCCAAAGCCACCTCCACACCTTCCCCTTACCTCCCCCCCCAACGCCGCTTCCAGCCCCGGTCCCGCTTCTAGGCCCGGATACCCGCCCCCGACCTCGCAGCACCCTCCACGCCCCCCACCACGACCCCCGCCCCCACCCCTCCGCCCCGCAGCGCCCCCCCCCCCCGGCGCACGCGCCCCGCACACACCTCCCGCGCCGCGCCCCCCGGGAGGAAGGGGGGGGAGGGACGGGACGCACCTGAGCGGGCGGAGCGGGGGGAGGGGGCGGCCAAGCCACGGGGGAGGGGTCGAGCGCCGGCCCGCGCGCGACACCTCCCACTTCCGGCGGCACGAGCGGAGGGGGCGAGGCTCGGGCAGCGAGAGGAAAGGCCGCGTCGGCTCCGCGCCTCCCGCGACTGCGCCCTCTGGCGGCTATAGTTAGAACTACCCGGAGCGCAGGGATGCTGGCGAAGACCCTTGAGATGTAAGTGGACCCTGCCTCGGCGCCAGGAAGAGGGATTTCTGACCGCGAGAAAGAAGGAGGCCTGGTGGAGACAAGAGCCCTTCTGGGACTGCTACAGGGAGAGTCAGGGCCATAACGGTCAGAGGAAGAAGAGCAACGAGGTTGTGTTTTAAGGTCGGAACCGAGAGGCCCTTTTCAAAGGACGCCATGAAGAAGTACACTCTGGGGAGGGATCCTGTTGAAGATGCCCAGAGGACTCGGGCGTTGGAGCCCCGCGCGCTAAGCCGAAGCCCTGCACGCCGCTCCGCGGAGGCCGCCTGCAGGCTCCGTCCCGGAGCACCGGTTGCTGGGCCCGGCGGGTTGAGGGTGCTGGAGGACCCTCCGCTGATTGGCTGCGGCGTCCGGGCGGAAGTGATGCTGCTGTCACTGGCTCCCCGGGCTCCCGGGAAGCCGCGAGTTTCCGCAGGGAGGCGGCGGCGGCAGCCGCGGCCGGGCTGGTGAGTTGGGAAGTAGAGCGGGGCTGGACATTGGAAGTCCGGGTGGTCCAGAACTGTGGGGAGCCGGCGCCTAAGGAAGAGGGCGCTGCACAGAGGCGCTTTTAGTCCTGGTGCGAGGCCTCGCAGAGGTTCGGGGCCCTGGTCCTAATGAAGAGGGGGCACCTTAGTCGAAGCAGTTGAGGACAAGGGAGGGGGAATCGGTGAAACAAGTCCCTGTGCATGACTTAGTTCGAGCAGGGTGTAGAGGCGGCAAGGAGTCGCTTAAGAGCAGAATCTTGGACTTCGAGTTGCCCTTCTTCCTTGAGAAGAAGGTAGAGATAGGCCCAGCAGATGGGCGAGGTGGAGATCTGCTTTCAAAAGGTGTTTAACATTACTTCCCCAGAAGTCCAGGGGACAAAAGTGCTGATCTGCTCCCGGGAGACAGGAAGGGCTCGAGTTTCTCTTTCTTCCGGCAGTCTGGGTGGGATGTACTGAGACTGAAGAGCCTGCCTAGATGGCTCATTCCCTTGCCACCAACAAAATTTCATTTCCACTTAGTGGAGTATGCGGACTGGGAAAGACACCTGAATATTTTGAGACAATGGAAGCTACTAGAGGGCAGGGAAGAATTTGAGAGAGAATAAGCCCTGGAACCTAAGAGGAAAAGAGAGAGATGTGGAATGGGGAATCCTGGAGGGAAATGTTAAGTGGCCTAAGTCCTCTCCCTTTCCAAGGAGTCTTCAGTAAAAACACATGTTTTGTTTTTTTGTTTTTTTTCTAGAATGTTTTTAGTTGACTTCTTTTGGGTGTGTGTCAGAGTTCAAAGTTGGCCCCATGGTGGACTCAGTAGACAGCAGAGGCTTTTAAAGAAGCCTAACCACCCACATTTGCTTGTCCCCATGGTTGCCTACCAGTTCTGACTTGACCCTTCTATCTCTTTAAGAGCTTTTAAGACCTTTTCCCTGGTTCTTTGGATCCTAAGCAATTAGAGGACAGGTTCAGAGCCTGAGCCTTTGCTTCCAAGCCAGCCTGTTGAGCTGGTTACAGGGGCATCTCTTCGGTGCTGCTTTCCAGTCATTGCTTATCTCCCAGTTGCCCACTTGCCCTTTATACTGGTTTTGTTTTCATTCTCTGACTTTCTTCCTGTTTCACCTTGCCACCTCCCTAGGCTAACAGTTAAGCCTCTGCTAGGGCCTCTACAGAAACAAATGAAAAAGGATAGCTTGATAGGTCAAGAGTAGAGTTGCTGGATTTTGTACTGATTTGGACTTAACTGTGCCAGAGCTGTTCCAGTCTAGGACCGGTCTTAGATTCCTGGCAATGATACTTATCATTGTCCAGCATCTTTGGTGACTGGTCCTTGGCTAGCCTCTGCTTGTTCCACTGGATTTGGTGGGACACTGTTTTCTGTTCTTAGGACCCACAGGTCTTCAACCTGTGCTCAGAGTCAACAGTTCTCACAGCAAAGGTGGCACTTTTTCTTCATTTGCATAAAATGAGGATGACGTGGTTAGCCAAATCAGAAGCTCAACCTCACAGAGAGTCCAGGTAGGAATGGGGCCCCATCGCATGGGAGTTAGCCCCGAAGACAACTGAACTGAAGTCAGCTGGGATGACTTACGTCCCTTCTAAATAAAGAGGGGAAGGGTCCTCCTAAAAAACAGTCATGTTGCTACCAGTGTTTGTGGGCGTATCATGTACTTTGATCCCTGAGAGTGGCAACACTGGGAAGAGCAGGATGGTGCCCATGAGCAACAAGACCCTGCTTGTTTATCTGGTGTAGCAGAGTTTGGCCCATCATGCCATGGGAGGTCATCCACTGGGGTTAGTCCTGGCCTGCACTCCACCTGGGGCTTAGCTCCATTGGTCCAGGGTAAATATGATCAAAAAAAGAAGATCAAATGTTTCATAATGGGAATAGCAGATTGGTTTCCAGGGGCAACACACAGAGGACTCAAAGTTACCCTCTCAGACCCCTGTGGTTATCACCTCTTTTTATTTCTTTTATTCCATTCTCTTTGCCCACAGCCTGCTGCTCTGATGCCGAAGGGAAGACAGAAAGTGCCACACTTGGATGCCCCCCTGGGCCTCCCCACCTGCCTCTGGCTGGAATTAGCCGGGCTCTTTTTATTGGTTCCCTGGGTCATGGGCCTGGCAGGGACAGGTGGGCTAGATGCCCAGGGCACAGGGGGGCTGAGCTGGGCTGTGCATCTAGACAGTCTGGAAGGTGAGAAAGAGGAAGAAAATCTGGAGCAGCGGGCACATGCTGTGGCCCAGGCAGCAGGATTGGTGAACGCCGGACGCATCGGAGAGCTCCAGGGCCACTACCTCTTTGTCCAGCCAGTTGGGCACAAGCAGGCCATGGAAGCGGAAGTCATCCGGCAACAGGCAGAGGCTGTGTTGGCCAGGCATGAAGCTGTGCGTTGGCACTCAGAGCAGAGGCTGCTGAAGCGGACCAAGCGCAGCGTCCACTTCAATGATCCAAAGTACCCACAGCAGTGGCACCTGGTGAGTCCAGCCCTGCAGTGTCCATTTCAGATGAAGAGGTTCTAGTCTAGTTCTTTAGTGGGCTTTTCACCAAATCCCTCTTCACTTGTCCCATCCTTGGTCTGAGGGGCCGTTTCTGGGGGCTGAGTGGTATGGTACCCTCAGCCTCTACTTTCCCTGGAACCAGTGCACTATAGTGCTTAGGGCTTGAATGCTGCCCAGGCTTACACTGCAGCTCTGCCACGAACTAGATCTGTCTTCAGGCAAACTGCTTCACCTCTCTATGCCTCACTTTCCCCACCTGCAAAATGGTACCTACCTCCTAGAGTTAAGGCTAGAATAAGTGAATTAATATATATGAAGCACTTAGAACAATGCTTGGCACATAGGAGAAATTATTTCATATGTGATAACTACTGACATTATTGCATAATAATTATATTATCCAACCTATAACCCAAGCCACCATTTCACCCTGAATCACCCATGGGTGATGCCAACCTTCCCTGGAGACCAGCGTCATGGCAGAGTTCTTATGTGCCTCTCTTGGTTCTGTTCCCTAGTACTCTTTTGATTTGTAACCTCTGTCTGGCTCTTTGGTGGAGTTCAAAGTTGAAAGTTGTCTTTCTCTAGACTGTGCTGTGTGTCTCACTAGATTCCCACCCCATCTCTCCTACAGAATAACCGCCGGAGCCCTGGCAGGGATATCAACGTGACAGGTGTGTGGGAGCGCAATGTAACTGGACAAGGGGTGACAGTGGTGGTAGTGGACGATGGAGTGGAGCATACCATCCAGGACATTGCACCCAATTATGTGAGTGGCCTGGGTTGATCACTCCTACCCCATGTCATACCACCTTCTTCATGTTGCCTCAGTCTTATTCCCTTTCCTAAAGGGCACTGAGCCAAACCAAACAGCCTGGAAGGTGGGGTGATATTCTTCCTTCTCTCCTTTCCCTGCCAGCCTTCTAGGTTGGCAGTTAAGGCACAACAGGTGGCTCCAATCCCAAGGGAGGGCAATCCTCAGAGGTACTTCCTGCTTCCTGTTGCTGCTCCCTCTCTGGTGTGAAGGAGTGGCCCAGTTAGGCTACTTCTTCCCTCTCCACCATTCTGAGTACCTTCCCTTCTCTAAAGCATGACCTTCAGAGAGCCCTAAATCTCTTTTATCCAAAAGAGAAGATTATAATTCTTATAATTATATGTTCTTATACTAGGCCAGAGAGAAGGGTGCTGAGAGACATGGCACTTCTCAGTTCTGTCCCACTGTCTTTTGCTCATATCTTGTATCCTATGTGATGTGAAGAAGATGGGCCTGCTGGCCTGACTTGGAATCCCAAACTCCTACTTCCTTTCTCTCCCTGACCCCTCTAACCAGTGAGTGACCACATGTCACCCCTCCATATTTCAGAGCCCAGAGGGTAGCTATGACCTCAACTCTAATGACCCTGACCCTATGCCCCACCCGGATGTGGAAAATGGCAACCACCACGGCACGCGGTGTGCAGGAGAGATTGCTGCTGTGCCCAACAACAGCTTCTGCGCAGTGGGTGTAGCCTATGGGAGCCGCATAGCAGGTAAGTTGGGCTTCCCACTAGCCTTAGAGGGCTTTTCCTGTGGCCACAATGGTCATTCCCTGCTCTGCACCCCCATTGTGTAACTTTATTCCATCCCAGTATTCACAACCTGGAGCAAAGGATAAGCTCTTAATAGGACTCCTTAGCTCATTGATTTTTCAAACATGTTTTCTTAGCAGCAAGCCCCACTCTATAAAACAGATAAAAATAGAAATGCTCTTGACATGGGCTAGAGACTCAAGCCCCTGGTCAGTTTCTTCCTTTTTTCTGATGATGGCTATGCCCCAATACTCATAACAACTCCTTCAACTAGACTACATTGTACTCATATTTTCATACGTTACAAACTGTCTTCTCCTCTGTTGTTCTTCACAACCTCTTGTATCTATGGAGGCTGCTGTCACAGGCCCACCTCCCAGCCCCCAGTGCTACTCATGATCACAGTTGCTTTCCATCCTTTCAAGAGAGCTAACCCAGTCCTATGCTAGAAGAGGTTCTCTGGTTCCTTTACCTCTCAGTCTTTGTCATGACAGAAGGTGAAAGGAATGAATAGGAAAGCCATCCACTTGATTCCTAATAAATGCCTGGGAACCTAAGCACCCAATGGGTTGGCTGTAGTTCTCATAATATCCAGCAGAGGGCAGTAGCCTTCTGCAGATGAGACTACAGAGGGGGTACGAAACTTTCAAGGTTCCCTTTTTTTCAAAGCCTCATTTGTCCCTACATGGTCCACCAGGATATGACCCACCCTACTTTGGAGGGTGAAACTAGGCATCCCTGGAGTAGTAATGGTACTGAACACTATTTACTGAACACCTTTGACATGTCAAGCACTATGCTAGGGGCTTTACATGATGAAGGGTGAAAATAATAAGAGAATCTTGGTTAGCTTCATTCTAGCCCCACTCTTTTTAATCAGACTCCAAGATCATTAAAGTCTAAGTTCCAGCATGTTAGTAAAAATATTTTTGGTTAGGCATGGTGATACATGCCTGCCAAATCACATTTACTCAGGAGGCAAAGGCAAGATGAAGTTCAAAGCCATCCTGGACAACTTTGCAAGACCTGTCTCACAGTAAAAAGGTATAGGACTGTAGCTTAATGGTAGAGTATTTGCCTAGCATGTACAAGGTTCTGGGTTCAATCCCTAGCACTGTTGAAAAAAAATTTTTTTTTAAATTTTCGACAGGTAATACAAATACATGGCATAAGAATTCAAAAAGTACAAAAGAGTATATAGGGGAGAAGTATGTCTCCCCCATGTAGCTCCCCACCACCCAGCCCCCCATTAGGGAACTGGCACTGACAGTTCTTGCAGGGCCAGTATTAGTGAGGAGCTGGTATGTCTTCAACACCTAGGTATCCGGGTACTGGATGGACCACTCACAGACAGCATGGAGGCTGTGGCATTCAACAAGCACTATCAGATCAATGACATCTACAGCTGCAGGTGAGGCAGAGCTTCGGGTGGGGCAGAGCCAGTAGAGGGCAGGAGGCTGATGTACCTGGGAGGAATCTTCCAACAAAGGGACAGCAAAATGGGTTGACTCAGGCAGATAAGAACAGGGAACTCCTCACTGGGCTAGCTGATAAGGTCATTGCCCTCATCTTCAGTTCTCCACTAGGTCCTCAGTCTTAAGTTCCCATCGTCCCAGTAATCAGTTTGTCACATAAGAAGTGCCCAGCCTGCCCCACATTTATTATTTTCTTAACTCACAAGGCCCTGGGGAGAAAGTGGGCTATCCTCTCCACTCCGGGTATACTGAATCCCAGAGGCAGTCTCTGCCATCCTACAAAAATGCTCCTGCAGCTTCAGGTTATGGCTCTGGTAGACAAGTTCCAAGAAGGAACTGAGGTGAGGTGGCCCTGTAGCATTGATGGTACCTACTCCTCCCCCTAACGACTACCTTCTTAAATCCTTGACATCACCCACAAGATGTGTTTCCTCGGGGCTGGGGTTATAGCTCAGTTGGTAGAGCACTTGCTTAGCATGCACAAGGCCCTAGGTTCAATCCCCAACACCACACACACACAAAAAAAGATATGTTTTCTTTTAGACAAAGAACAGAAAACTCAGCCTAAGAATCAAGAACTGACCCACATAGAATATCCCATCATGCATGCTTTGCCATCAAGCCTAGTAGTAACCCTGTTCCTCTTTACCACTATGTATAGTCTCCTGTTCCCTGGGACCTGAGAAAGGACTCTATTTTCCACTTAGAAGAGATAGACTTGAGCCCTGTCTGTTAATCGTGGAAATCCAAGTGGTGGGGATATAACTCAGAGGTAGGGTGTTTGCCTAGCATTCTCAAGATCTGGGTTCAATCCACAGTATCGGGGGGAAAAAAAATGAAAGTTCTGAACCAGCACCCCTGGGAGGAGAGTAAGAACTACAGGCAGAAGGGTGGCTAGCTGAAACTGGGAGTCCCTGAGTGGGTACCACAGCCACAGACTGCTTCCTGTATTTATTCTCAACAGCTGGGGCCCAGATGATGATGGGAAGACGGTGGACGGTCCCCACCAGCTTGGAAAGGTAACTGAACTGCATGAAGACAAGGAGGCCTAGAACACTCTTCATTCAGTCCTAGAAGAACTACTACAAGTCGATCCCTCTTCCTACCCACTCCCACTTGCACTGCCAGACCTGTGCCATCTAGCTCTGCTGCCTTCTTGCAGGAAGAAAGTACAGCTAACCTGGGGTAGGGGGCACCTACAGGAATGAAGCAATGCTTTTAAATTGTTTCCCTTTGATCTTGTTCTCAGCTCCCTTCCCGGCCCCACTCTGTTATCTGATAAACAGAGTACATCAAGTGTACTACTCCTGGCTCCCTCCCATCCTGTGTCCATCTCTAAATATCTTTCTCCCATACCTGTGCCCTTTGAACTTTTTTCCCTTTTCTTTTTAGAAGGGGAAGAGGGGATGACTGGTTTGGTAGGTAGAGGTCTTTCTCTGAGCTCCTCAACTGATACCCTGACATTTTTGCTCCTCAGGCTGCCTTACAACATGGAGTGATGGCTGGTCGCCAGGGTTTTGGGAGCATCTTTGTAGTAGCCAGTGGCAATGGAGGCCAGCACAATGACAACTGCAACTATGATGGCTATGCCAACTCCATCTACACAGTCACCATAGGTAGTGACCTGATGGTTCTGTGTGTGTGTGTGTGTGTGTGTGTGAGAGAGAGAGAGAGAGAGATGTATCTTGGGGAATCATTGTGTCTATCTAAATGTACGATCATGAGTGTCTCTTTGGGCTCAAATAGGACTAGCCTACTCTCGAGATCTTAGGGCTTCCCTATGAACACGTCCAACCATTCCCTGAAGATCACCTCCCCATCTCCAGCCCAACCACCACTGACTCAGCTTCTGGTTTGGCCTCTCTTTTCCATGGCCCATTTGCCTCCTGCCTGAAACCTTCCCTCACTCCCCACTAGCCTAAATTAAGTGCCCTTTACCTGTGTTCTCAATCACAGCATTTGTCACAAGAAGTGTATTTATTTACTTACTCAGCTTCCTACCTGGTTTCTTGAGATCAGGAAGTGGCCTTTTCCAGATGGCCCTATTGCCAAGCACAGTATGTCACTCCCAGTAGATATTTTGTAAATGTTGGGGGGGGAAATGTGAATAACTAGGTATAGTGGTGGAAGACTCTTGGTTTTTCCCCAGAGCCTATGGGAAGAATAGCCACAGGGCACAGAATACTCTGTGCCACTTGAGGCTGCTTATTGAGATGAAGATTGTAGGCATTCTGAGACAGCTCAGATCTTTTTTTCCACTCAAGATGCCTCCCCCAGATAATAACTCAGAAACAACTCTGATATTATCAGGCCCTGTGCAGGATCCATTCCTCATCTCAGCTCCCATTTCCCTCTATGCCCAGGTGCTGTGGATGAGGAGGGTCGGATGCCTTTCTATGCAGAGGAATGTGCCTCCATGCTGGCAGTCACCTTCAGTGGTGGGGACAAGATGCTCCGGAGCATTGTGAGTGCCTCCCAGACCCTCTGCCCCCTGCCCCTACCCTTCCCATAGGACTCCTCTCTGGCATCATAAGGTGTTCTTTTGTTCCCGGTCCCGCTCCTAGGGCTCCTCTGCCTTCACAGATCTAACTCTTGGGCATGCCACTGTTGGGAGAACCACCAAGGACTCTGCATAAATCTGTGTGAATGGTTTTTATCTTAAACTTTTTAACTTGGGACAAATGTACATATTATTAATAGAAGCAAGTTTTGCATTGATTAAACAATTTCTTTGAAATGTTTTCCTGTGGTAGAATTTGGGCTTGCGCTACCTTCCATGAACTTAAGAAAGAGAATCATGGTATTTCTATAATTCCATGAGTTCTGTCATATTGGTCCTCAAGAGTGGAGCCAGCGCTTGTCTCTATGAGATCCGTGGGAAAGAGAGCCTGTCTTCTGTTAACCCACAGAGCTCTTGCTAGAGCTGTCATTGGAGCCATAGCATAGAAACTGGAGCAGGGGACCAGAGCTGCTCTAGCCCATGGAACCTTGAAGGATCCAGGGGCTACGGCCTGCATCCCCTGTGCTGGGCTCTCTCCAAGCAGGGTGAAGCCAGGTCTGAGGACCACCATCATCCTAGAGCTCCCTCCTGTCCCTGTTGCTCACGCAGTGTAACACGGGTATAGGAGGCTCCAATAAGAGCTGGGCTGGAGCCAGCTGGTGTCAGATTTCTCCAGTGGCTGGGTTGGAAGGTCTCTCCAGGGCCCCTGGGAATTAGGCAGCTTTGTCTTCCTGCAGGGTCAAGTTCAGTTTCCAAAACTAAAATTTTGTTATGCCAGTAAATGACTTCTGATCAACACAATGTTCCAAGGCTCTGTGCCAGCTGACCCCTACTCCCTCCTCCCGCACCCAAGGAGAAGAAGAAGGGGAAGTAGACTGAAGTAAAGATCAAGCAAGGCTTTGCTGGGTAGCCTGGGGTCCATGCAATGGCCTTCCCCACCCTGAGCCAGGCTGTGTTATGAAAAAGCAGGAACATACTGTGCTACTCACACCTGGCAGAATTCTGGGGGACCTCACTCACACTTGCCCCAGGGCAGATTTCCAAGAAGGCTCCATAACCATTGTCTGTTGCTCTGTGGTACCTGGCTTTCCCCTCCAAACTCAACTCAGCTTCTTACCCTTACCCTACCTTCCACCCAAACTATAATTTATCCAGAAATGAAACGAGTTTATTTAGCCAAGTTTCCATTTTGGAATGTCCTTGCCCTGGAAACCTCCTGTTGCTGGTTTCTATCCAATGACCAGGGCAGCTGGGTGGAGCTGTCTTTGTAAGGGCAGGGGTGCGGGCATGTGCTTTCCACCACTAAGGCCTGGGGGGGCTCCCCTGGACTTCCCTATGGCTGCACAGGGCTCCTGCCACCCTGGGCAAGTTCACAGGCTTCCCAGCTACACACTAGACTGTCATTGTAAGGCTGTTTCCTTAACAGGAAAAAATCAATCTGCTTCCTGGCACCAGCCAGGCTTCCCACCTCATTGAGACTACAACTTGGAGAGTATTTCTCCCTTTCCTTCTGGGAGTGCACAGTGTCTGGGTGAAAATTACATCTCTTGGCAGCTGCTATAACAGCTGGGATGGAAGCAGTGAGTACAATGGAGAAAGGGCAGCTCTTGGCAGAAGTCGGTACCCTAGTATTTTACCCAGAAGAGAAGTATGGAAGAAAGGAATTCCGTAGTCTTTGCATTGGCACCATAGGTTAAGGATCCAAGTGCCACCTAGTGGAGCAGGTTCAGGCAGGGTCCTCCTCAGCCAGCCCCTTTGAGGCTCCATGTTGATGGGACATGAAAAGAACTTGATGCCAGACAGATGCCATCTCCCCCACTCTCACACCCCAGCTCAGAACCACAAATGGAAAGCGGGGCTCCGGAAAACCCAGCTAAGCTGCCAATCAGAGCACAGAGGCAGCTTATCCTGTGGGTGGCCACCAAGCAGGGTGCCCGACTGTGTACACACTGTGCCCATGCCAAGCTTGGGTGGGCAAGGACAGCTGTCTCCCTGGAACATACTCCCTGTGTTTGCACCCCATGTCTCTTCAGCCCCCGTGGCTGAGCTGCCAAATTGTATTTCCTTGACTGGTGCTGTCACTGTTGTCCCTGCTCCAACTGAGGCCCAGCAGCTCCCGTGACACTTCCTCTGTTTAGTGTGGCTGTGAGGGTTGAAGGGCTTGGGGTAGAATTTGGGAATGGGAGCAGGAAAATAAGGGAACAAGAATAGGAAATTATTGTCTGCATCAAAATCCTCTCACATGTTTTCATCTCCTTTTCTCCACAACCATGCCCTCAGAAGCAGCTCTTTCATTTTGACTATGTGGTGGTTCCTTGGGGGGCCAGAAGGACTACAGGTCTCCTCTGTCCTGTTGGTGGGCCCCATTCTGGTCTGACAAAGAAAGGGCCCACCAGAGAGGGTTGTTCTGAGGACTGTGTGGTTTCCCTCCCTCTGCAGTTTTGAACTCAGTCACTAACCCTCCCCACTCCCCCTTCCACTTCCTAGGTGACCACTGACTGGGACCTTCAGAAGGGCACTGGCTGCACAGAGGGCCACACAGGGACCTCAGCTGCAGCACCTCTGGCAGCTGGCATGATAGCCCTCATGCTGCAGGTACGGCCCTGCCTCACATGGCGTGATGTCCAGCACATCATTGTCTTCACAGCTACCCAGGTGAGATACTACCAGGTAGATAAGTGGTCCCACCCAGCCCACCCCAAGGTTTGAGTATTAGCAGGCTTCAGATTCTAAATGTCCCAAATGTTAGGTGTCGAGTCCCTTTCAGAAGAAGGGTATGTGTAAGCAGTGGTATGGGAACCCCATCAAGACCTCAGGCTTCGACTCACTCATATCTCTTCTGCAAAGGAGAGCTCTGGCTGGGCTCCCTCTCCAGAAGCAAGCTTCTGGGGTGGTGATATCATGGGGTTTTAACCTTCGGTCCCAGCTTTTCTGGGGGAATCCATTCCTCGTGGCCTCAGTGGAAAAGTCTGGATTGGATTGGCCAACAGTCAAGTGAAAAGTGAGGTTGAGGCCGTTGAGATGTGGGTAATGCAGGAGACTGAACCAGGCCTCTGCTTTCAGTATGAAGACCGCCGTGCAGATTGGCTCACCAATGAAGCAGGCTTCAGCCACAGCCACCAGCATGGCTTCGGCCTGCTCAACGCGTGGAGACTTGTCAATGCAGCCAAGGTGAACAGGCGATGGCAAGACGGGGCGGCCTGCGTGCGTGGCAAGCACTTAACAAATATTCATTCATTTCATTGATTCAACCATTTTCACCCTCATCCCAGCTGATGGTCATTTTACAGATGAAAACCACTCCGACCCAGCACTGTAACTGAAAGTCCCAGACTTATTAAGGAGAGCCCATGGGAGCAGAGGATAGCTGGGGCCTCTCAGGTGCTCCAGTTCTCTTTTCTTTTTTTCTTTTTGTGGTGCTGGGGATTGAACCCAGGGCCTTGTGCATGCGAGGTAAGCAAGTACTCTACCAACTGAGCTATTGCCCCAGCACTGTGCTCTGGTTCTCATTGGACATAACCATCTCTATGATTCCTTGAGTTGGTGCCCTAATGAGCCTCAGGAGTGAAAGAAGGTGATGACAAGGAGAGGAAAGATGGAAAGAGGGCTAGGCCTTAAAGATCACATCACTGGCCTCTGTGTGTGTGTGTGTGTGTGTGTGCATAAGAGAGAGAATGAGTGAGAAGTCTGTGTTGATTTGCCATCCCTCCCTTTCTTTAACAGATCTGGACATCTGTCCCTTACTTAGCTTCCTATGTCAGTCCCGTGCTGAAAGAGAACAAGGCTATTCCACGGTCACCTGGCTCCCTGGAGGTCCTATGGAATGGTAAGTAGTTAACCCAGAAGGGTTAATCTTAGGCTTGAGGCCTGGGCAGTGATGGGGAAATAAAGCTTGTCCTCCCTGCTGGATTCTCCCCCCTTCCTTCAGGAGCTGAGCTCCAGCCAAACCTGTGGAGTTTTCTTTGACCATTTTAGGACATGTTGCTGCTTCTGAGTTGGCTGGCCCCTGGCTGCTAAAACAAGACCTTTCTCCTGAGTTCCTAGTAGTGAAAAGGAGCTGCTGAGCAACCCGCTAGGAAGGCGGGTGGGTGGGGTGGAGGTGGGACTTGGGGAGACTCAGCAGGAGTTGGAAGAAGTTCCTGTGACTTCCATGCTAAGATGTTACCAGACCACTCTATCCTAGTGGCTTTTGGATGAAGTAAAAGTGTTAAAAACTCTTTCCTTTGATTCTCAGATCTATCTCAGAAAGAGAGAGAGCCAGATGTCGTCTGTTGGGAATGAGACAGAGGTATAAAAAGAGATCCCCTAGACTAGAGTTACTAGGGTTGCTAGAATTCTAAAGGGGTGGGGTTGGAGTGTTACCTCCTAAGCCAAGGATGTAGTTGTATGTTGAGCACAAAGGCAGAAACCCTTCCCAGAGAAAAAGTAGCTGGACCAGGATGCTTGTTCTAGAGGACCCTATGTCTGCACAGTTTTTTTGTTTTGTTTTGGTGCTAGGGACTGAATCCAGGGCCTTGCACATGCTAAGCATGTGATATACCACTGAGCTAGACCCACAGGTCCTCTGTACATTTCCCAGTTTTCCTTACCCTCAGTTCCTTGGGGGATTTTTTTTTTTTTTTTTTTTTTTTTAGGAATTTTGATAGAATTATTCACTACTTTTCATGAAAGTTGAGGGACATCACACTTCATACCCAGATCAGAACTCTGTCCTCATGTTTCCTGTCCTCCTAGGAAGTGGTCAAACCAGAGCCATGGCAGGAGAAGGAGTGGCCAAAGGAGGGAGCCCAGGAGGAAGGAAGGAGGGGGCAGCCTCCCTCGGGTGGAGCTTTCGCCAAGAAGAGTTGAGTTTCTATCCCTAAGCATGTGCAGCTTTTGCCAGTCTCCCTGCACGTGGAAGGAGACCTAGGGCCCTGGTTATTGCATTTTCCGTAAAAGGAATGCTATCTTGGAAAGGGCATAAGGCATGAGCCAAGGCAGAGAAGTTCAAAAACACACCCAGGAATGCAGTTCCATCGAAAGCCCTGGCTTTGCGCTCACTGTCTTGGGGATCATGTGCCTTTTAACCTTTCCCTCCTATTCAGGGCTGTTTCCCATCACATCTGTCAGATGAGGAAGTTGACTTAAAGGACTAGGGGTCTTTCCAACTTTGTCATCCTCTGCTTCTCACAAACCAGGGCATGTTGCCCCAGAGTGTCTGACAAAATTCCATAGATATCAAGGCATCTGGCAACTTCTTGTCATTAGGAAGCAGGAGAAAGGGAGGAGAGCGGGAGATGGTCTAGGGGACAAGCAGGATGCAGAGGATAGATCCAGGGAGGTTTGCTAGTGAACCTCATCCAGGGCAGCAAGCAGTCCTGATGCTCATTTCAGAGGCCAGAGAAGGTGATTTGACATGACTACGTTCACCCCTGAGCAGACACAATGGAAGGTGTAAGCTTGAGGGCTGGCTTAGAAGGAAGTAAGTCCCAGTAGCATAGAACTGAGCACTTCAGTCCCAGACAGTGGAGATATCTCCTCCCCTAGAGCAAAGCTATAGTTTTTTTCCAGCAGAATCCATGTGATTCCTTGTATGGGGCTAGAAAGGGAACTTTTTATAAGGTAGAGGGAGCTAAATGTCCCTAATATAGAAGAGGATATGAAAGACCTCTAAGACTTCAGGGCAGCATTGTCCCGCAGGACTTTCTTCTATGATGGAAACGTTCTAGATCTCTGAGGCCATATGGATCTACTGAATGTTTGAAATGTAGTTAGTTTGCAGAACTGAATTTTAATTGCATTTAATCATAATTAAATTTATATAGTCGCATGTGGCAAATGGCTGCCATCTTCTGAAGCACTGCTGAAGAGCAAGACAGGTTTTCATTTCTCCCCACTGACAGGAATTTAGGAGGGAAAGGGATGGGTTCTCTTAGCTCCATTAGATCTAACACTGGGTCGAAAATCACCAGACATAGGACATAGAAGGTAGGAGGGAGAGTGGAGTTTGGGGAAGACTGGCTTCTCCACAAGAGTCTGTAGGTTAGAAGATGCCTGAACACTTATTTGCACCTATCTCTTGTCCTTCCATACAGTTGAGTGTACTATTAATCCTCTGCCCGCGCAGTTAGTCCTGTTCCTCACCTCTCTACGTCTCCCTCTTCAGCCCATTCTTTCCCTCTCTCCTTCCTTTCGCCTTCCAACTGAAGTCCCTGTCTCCCCTCAACCAGTAGTTCAACTGAACTAAGTGAAGCTGCTGCCTCTCATCACACACTCCCTCTGCCATGGAAGACTCACTTCATGACTCACTGTGCCCCTTTCTTGGACTGATCCAGGGGCTAGTTTAGAATCCATCCTTGTTAACCTTCTTGTGACTCTGACCCTACTAATGAGGAGTTAATTGCAACCCCTCCCTTCCTCTGGCTGCTGTGACCCCCTTTGCTCCATAGTCCTCTTCTGTCCTCTCTGCCCAACTTACCTAATTTTTGGTTTGCTTGTTTACTATTCTGGAGCTGTGACTGTCTTCCAAGACTCATCCCATGGCTCTTTGTCCACCTTCAGTTTCCATCGCTTCACACAATTCCTCTAAGTCTTATTCCAGTCCCTCATGGGTGGGATAGATTGTCAGACCTCCCACTAAATTATGGGCACACAGAGCCCGGGCATCTTCTGGAACAGGATGAGAGGTGAAAAAGACCTCAACTTACCACAGACTAAATAATAATAATAAGATGAGGATCATCAGCTAACATTTGGGTGCTTTCTGTATGTCATGCACTGTTGTAATATTGGCTGTTTCTTTGTTTGCAGTGCTGGGGTTGGAATCCAGGGCCTCGCACATGTTGGGCAGGTGCTCTAATACTGAGCTACACCCCCCACACCCAGCCAGTAATAGTTCATTTCATTTATTAACTCATTGAACTCTAGTAGAAATAACTCACATGCAGTACTACCCAGTCCCCACCCACACAACTAAAAAATGGATGTGACATGCCACTATGTAAACCACTAACAGATAAGCACTCCTTTTTGGATTCTATTTTATTTCATAATGTTCCATAACATGTCATTTATTCTCCTTTATGTCTCTTCTCTGCCACTTCAGGGCTCTCCTCCACCTACGTCAAGACTTTTCCTTTTTCTTTTTATTCCTGAACCACTGTGTGCTGTTAATTCCTATCTATATATTGCATTTAATACATATAAAAATTTTAGATTTCATTATCCACTCTCAAAAGGCAGCTTTGTCCCCCTCCCCCTCCTTTGGTAGATACCAGGAATTGAGTCCAGAGGGGCTTAACTACTGAGCAACATCCTCAGCCCTTTTTTATATTGATTTTGAGACAGGGCCTCACTAAATTGCTGAGGCTAGCTTTGAATTCAGAAACCTCCTGCCTTAGCCTCTTGAGCCACTGGGATTACAGGCATGTACCACTGTGCCTGGCTCAAAAGGCAGCTTTCTTTCCAAGTTTCTCCCATGTTTGTCATTACGATTACCATCCCCTAGTCTGCCAAACATGAAACTTTGAAAAGGAGTTTTCAGTCCTTCTGTCCCCCTTCTCTCCCCAGGTCTTCTCCTAGCCTTTCCCTTGTAGTTTAGTCTTTGTTTTGTTTGTTTTTTGTTTTTTCTCTGAGGTCTCTCTTGATTTGATTCACTCATTCATTCTATAAATAGGTAACACCTATTTTGCCCCAGGCACCGCATAAATTCTAGGGATTAAGGGATAAGATGATTTCTGCCCTCAGGGAGTTCTCCTTCTCGCATGGGAGACAGTGGGCCATGGAGACAGCACGTGTGCTTTCAGAGCACAGTGGGGAGACAGGGAAGGGTTCTTAAACCAGTCGCTGACCTAAGTTTTACTATATCAGCTAGCCAGGAGAAAAGTGACAGGACATCATACAACAGGTACAACATGTGCAAAATCAAGGGTCTCTTCAGAGAGCTGCGGGTAATTCAGGATGGCTGGAGTGGCGAGCAAGGGAAGGAGAAGACCAGAAACTGGAAGGTGGCAGATAGACCATGTGTTTGTTCTTTACCTTGAAGCCTCCAGGAGCCTTTAAAATATTGTCACCAATTGAGATTGATATAAGGAGACCGAGAGGAATCAAAGATCTGCCCAAAGTTTCATTTTCTAGACACATGTACTAAAATCTTTACTGATGAACTGGTTCACTGCCTGGGGATTCTATAAAAGGAATTTGGGAAGTGAAGGAGTAGAAGTCATCCATGAAATAAATATATTGATAATTTTTGAAATTAGATGTTGAGAACATATGCACGCTCTACTTTTTTATGTCTGAAGTTTTGTATAATAAAAAGTGCATATGTATATAAATTAATATTATACTTATGTATTTATATATGGTTACATAAATAAGTACTGTGTCTTATGTTTTTAAAAATATTTACAGATGAGAAGGTTTCCAGGTTTTTAGTTGGGCCAAGGACTAGATGGCGATGCTCTCAGGTAGAATTGGAAATCTAGGAGGAGGAACAGATGTGGGCAAGGCTGTGAAGTAAGGAAGAAAACGAGCTATGCCATATTTGTGCATACCTTTAAAGGTTTTACCTAGAAAGCAGTTGAATAAATAAACGTTAGGTGTAATGAATTTGGGAGTCATGAAAGAAAAGGTCTTGGAGAGAATGAGATCATCAGGCTTACAGGGAGATAGTCATGAAAGAGGGCCCAGAATGAAGCCTGATGTTAAATAAGCAAATATAAGAAAGGAGTCTCTAAAGAAAACTGAGAAGCAATGACCTGAAAGGCAAGAGAAAAATCAGGAGATTGGTATTATGGGAATCAAGGAAGGTTTCAGTGAAAAAGGACGAGTAAGGCAAGGACTAAAGATCATGACCAGGTTTAAAAAAGAGACCACTGGTGACCTTGGGAAGAATCACACCAGTGTATTCACAGGGCCAACAGCTAGATTGCAGCTGGCTAAATAATTAATGAGCACAGGAGAAGATTTCTAGTTATAGCTGGCAAATTGAACCCATGCTTTTATTCCTGCTCTCTCCCACAACCTTACAAAAATAAGAATAAAGGAATAAAAATGTATAAGCACAAGGACAAAAAGAATGAGAGAGAAGACTACATCAAAACGATAGATTTCATCACACTTTTGGAAGATGGAAAAGAATGGAGAAGTGAGCAGGGCTAAGAAAACAAAATTCCCACTGGGTGCCGTGGCGCATGCCTGTAATCCCAGCAGCTAGGGAGGCTGAGGCAGGAGGATCACAAGTTCAAAGCCAGCCTTAACAAAAGCAAGGCACTAAGCAACTCAGTGAGACCCTGTTTCTAAATAAAATACAAAATAGGGCTGAGGATGTGGCTCAGTGGTTGAGTGCCCCTGAGTTCAATCCCTGGTACCTCCCCACAACAGGGGGAGAAACTAAATCCCATTCCTGCCATAGTATCCCAAAACACTCAGGCCCCATATGCTATGGAAGACAAAGTATGAGACTAAAACTAGGGGTCAACTGAAGGTTAGACTTCAGTCATCTTCTCTCATCCTAATAGCCAGATGATAGCATCTTCCTTTTCCATGCAGGAGTCAGGAAGTTTATTCCCCAAAGTTAGGGGCTCCAGGTGCAGCACAAAGTGGGAGGCAGGGACTATGCTGAGAAAAGGAGACCCTCTCCATGAGCCAGCTGCTCGGATCCCAGGGTGCTGCAGCCAGGAACTCAGAAGAGTCCTTGATGGAGAAATGGAATGGCTCCTTGCCATAAGACAAAGACGCTGACATGTGGGGCTCATCCAGTGACATAAGCAGGCCACGGTCCAGGTAACTTTGGACCTTCCAGGTGAAATGCTCCACCTGTGCTGAGAACTTCCAGCTGGCTTTTGGAGATAATAGGGATCA